GGTTACCCCCCCCCCCCCCCCCCCCCCCACAACGAATAAAGAAAAAGGAGATGATTGAATGTTGATGACCAGGGATACAGAGGAGAAACCAGGCTGGTTCAGCGATCCACATTTGCCGCCATGTGCAGCGTAAACACTGTTCCCCACTTATATATCTAAATATGTTTGTTATTCTGCTACGTATTTCTATATACATTTTGTGTATGCATCTAAGTCCTGAATTCATGGGTAATGCCCATGTACCAATCAACTGAGAATTAATGTTTGAGACCGTAAGAGCAATAAGGGCAAAACTGGAAAAAACCTAACCAATGCATCACTCGAAAGTGACAAGTAGTTATGGAACAAAAAATTCTCCAAAGCGACAATTAATTCATGGGCTTTATAGATAAACAACCGATCTTCATATTTACTATAATCTCAATTTAATGCATTGTCGCGTGGAAAATGCTTAAGAATAACCTCTATTCTCCTGCCATTTTTTCAGCTTTGTAGAAATTATGGCTCCAGTGTTTTCTCGTAAGGCTTGGAGATGCGTTTGGCATATGATTCAGGTATTTGTCTCGTTTTGGAGTCATATGACTCTGCATTAATAGTTACATTATATTTTCGTACACATTTGCTTTCTTTTGGTTTCGTTTCAGGCTTTCAGCACGTTATTTAATACTAACTCTTTGTGCTCGCAGAATGATTTGGTACATGGATGGGGATTGGATTTTGCTTTAAGAAGATGTGCAGATGTTAGTCTCTCTCTCATTCTGTGTGTGTGTGTGTGTGATTGTAAAAAAGAAAAATCGTACGTTCATAAACTGTGAGATATGATGAAGGAATCACTTGATGGAAATCATCCGATCACTTTTAGTTTTCTCCTGCAGCCTCCGCATGAAAAAATTGGTGTCGTTGACTCGCAATGGATTGTTCATCAAGTGATTCCATCACTGGGAAATCAGGTCAGTATTCAATAACTTGTTAATATCCTCAATTATGATTATTATCTTACAGAATAATAATTAATTTCTCGACACTCGGTGAATATTACGCAACCATGACCACTATTAAAAGTCGTACTAAATCAGAATGTTAGGATAAACCAGAATGAAATATATGTTTTTTTTTCTGGAGTATCAACTCACTCAATTTGAAAGTCGTACTAAATCCGAATTTGTCGTGGATTCTCAGGGAGAGTCTGAGAATGGGAAAGCTCCGTGGGAAGGGGTACGTATATCCAGACCGATGTGTACCTTTGTCTGAATAGTAGTTTAATTAATCTTTTCTCTTCCTGTTTATTGCAAAATTATCGAAGCTATTTTTCATTGAACTTGTATCTCACCATCATTGTGTTTGGTCTGCTTCAAGACACATTTAGGAGATCAAGAATGTCGGGGAGTTGGATTTTAAATATATTTACGTTTTTTACGCAGAAAAGGTGGTTCCGAAAACATTTCCAAAGAACAACTACCCTATTTCAAAAGCCCACGTCCTATTTTCGTCAGCTAAATTGAATCTAAAAACATTTTCATCTAACATACTTCTTGAAAGGGGACTGTGCTTTTTATATATAGTTTATATGACTTGTTTCTCTTTGATATAGGTACGGGAGAGATGCAGAAACGAGTGGGCGCGCTTTCAGGATCGCCTTGCTACTGCTGACAAGGCATATTATACACAGCCTTTGAACAGTTAACGGTGGTCTCTTCTCAATCTATCTTGTACATTAATTGCATTCTTCTTCTTTTCCTCCCCTCCCTATTTGTTTTTTTTTCTGAGTCCTATATAACCTTCTTTCAGCTGTATATAATATATACAGTGCATAAAAAACACCGTTAAATGCTGAAAGAAGAGTACATTATTAAAATAAAATTAAAAAAAAAATAATAATAAAAAAAATAATAAGTACTTTTATGATTTGCAAATCGTTGTAAATATGAAATTATTCCCCAGAAAAAGAAAAAAATAAATAAAACAAATGAATTTATAGTTTATTAATAAAAGAATAAAAAGCTCCATTAGACTAAGATTCAAAATACAATGGCACACCAACAATTGAACATGGAGTTGTGTAATGGGTTCTTTTCTCGGGGTTGGTTACCGTTCGTGAGGTGGGGCTTTTTTGTAAGAAAATATATGGTTCATGGGTAGTTATAATTATCGTCGTAATTTTTCTTACCTCATGGGTGATCGTAATTTGTCCTACTAAAAAAGATGCTTGAACGGTGAAATATTAATATGGTGATGGGAATTGAGATGAAGGAATTAATTAGGGAAAACAAAAACATGGCATAATTCATGGGGTGAATCTAACGTCACTTTCATGAGTGAGATTGAAGTTTCTATAACCTCTCTCTGTCACCAAACGAATACTCATTTTTCTTTGGCTGTGGAATTTCAACCTTTTTTGCTTCCTCGTGAAGAAGTGCTCATTTCAACTTCTCTCCACAATACAGTCAAACTTTTATAAATTAATACAGTTGGAATCAGCCAAATTATTTATTTAGCGAAATATACTTTTAGTATGTTGTCTTCGAGTTGGTAAAAAATATTATTTAAAAGAGGTTAATTTATCAAAGTATTAATTTATTGAGATTCTACTCGGAAAAAAGAAAAACACATACATTATGATACATTTATTGAAGTTAGTTAGCAATATTAATGCTGCACAGATGTGGAGGAAATTGGGGACACCTATTAATTTGTATAATGATGTCATAAATTAAATAAATAATTTAGTAACCAAGGAAGGATGTACCCTTTGCTTATAGTTGCCGTTAAGGACAATCCCAACAATAGCCACAACATACAGACATTACCATATCATTAATTTTGATTTAATTTAATTAATTTAGTTACTTAGCACCCACCAAATGCAATAGCCCAATATTAAGACTCCATTTTCTTGCATTCTAAACAAGCTCTCTCTCTCTCTCTCTCTCTCTCTCTCTCTCTCTCTCTCTCTCTCTCTCTCTCTCTCTCTCTCTCTCTCTCTCTAACACACACACACCACCACCACTGCCATCGTCCCTTTTAAGCTCCGCCACCCCGTCCTGCTTCATCTTTCTTCACTGGCATTGGAGAGCATATATACCTCTGTAAAAGTGAGCATATATATATATATATACATACCTTTAGTAAAAAAAACAATATGAAAGTAGATAATACATTTTATTGCAATTACTTGTTTTGATTATTCTTACGATTTTCCGCAGAACAAGATGGGAGAGATTTCCGGGTTCCAAGTAGGAGTCATCGGCGCGTTGTTCCTTTCCGTTGCATCATCGGTGTCCATTGTCATCTGCAACAAGGCCTTGATGAGCAATCTTGGTTTTCCATTTGGTAAGCTAAAGAAAAAAAGATCATCATTACGCGTGTTTATAATTATTCCCGCGTGCTAAATTATGACGTGCTTTCGACTTTTTAAACTAATTTCCAGCCACAACACTTACTAGCTGGCACCTCATGGTGACATACTGCAGTCTTCATGCCGCGTTACGCTTAAATTTCTTCGACAGCAAGCCGGTCGACATCAAAACCGTCGTGCTTTTTGGCATCTTAAACGGTATATCCATTGGATTGCTGAATCTCAGCTTGGGATTTAATTCCATCGGCTTCTATCAGGTTCGATAATTAATCCCATTTTTTAAACACTAGTGAATTGTTGATCCCAAGATTCAATTATGTAAATCTTTTAAAATCTTGCAGATGACGAAACTTGCAATCATACCCTTCACTGTCTTGCTGGAAACTCTGTTCTTGAAAAAGCAATTCAGGCTAGTTAATTTAACTATCTTTTAGAAATAAAGAAAGATAAAAGAAAATTTAAAATATAATTTATTTATTTATTATGAATTATGCAGCCGAAAAACGAAGTTCTCTTTGTCGATCTTGCTGCTTGGAGTTGGCGTTGCGTCTATAACCGACCTTCAGCTAAACACTGTTGGATCAATTCTATCACTTCTAGCCATCGTAACAACTTGCGTCGGCCAAATTGTAAGCATTCGATTTTCACGAATAAATTAAATCATCAAACCATCATATAATTTTTTTTTACGGCATTTTGATTTCTCAGCTGACAAATACAATACAAAAGAAACTGAACGTATCGTCAACTCAGCTGCTATACCAATCGGCCCCGTTTCAGGCAGCTATTCTCTTCGTCTCGGGACCTTTCTTGGACCAATGCCTAACCAATCAAAACGTCTTCGCCTACAAATACTCTCCCATTGTTTTGGTACTATAATATTTTCTTTTTAATCAAATATTCAAAAATATATATATAAATTTTTATATGTGGATTACGTATCGACAGGGATTCATAGTACTTTCGTGCTTGATAGCTGTGTTTGTGAACTTGAGCACATTCTTGGTAATCGGGAAGACTTCGCCGGTTACTTATCAAGTGTTGGGACATTTAAAAACATGTCTTGTTCTTGGATTTGGATACACTTTGTTGCACGATCCTTTTACTACAAGAAACATCGTTGGGATACTTATTGCACTTGTCGGGATGCTTTTGTATTCTTACTTCTGCTCCGTCGAGACCAAAAGGAAGCAAGACGGAGATGTTTCGTCTTTGTCTCAGGTTCGTCGCTTGTCTTTCTTTTGCATTACATGGATTGGTATATAAACCTGAATCACCACATTTCAGTTTAACCAAAATAAAGAAATTATAAGTTGATTTTTTTTAGTTACTTTTTTTTTTGTGTTTCAGGTTAGAGAGAAAGATACTACACTTCTACTTTTGAGCCATGAGAATGAAAACTCCAAGAAACCCCTTGTTTAGTTGTTTAAGCTTAATTGTAAAAAAAAAATTCTTTTTTTTTTTGTCATTTTTAAGATTTTGATTATTTAATAAACCAAGAGTACAGAAATTATCAATAGTTTTGGTATTTGTTGTTGTTATTGGTTCTACTTCTGCATCTATGTTGCACGGAAACTTCAACTTCTTAATATTTTCGTATTTCGAACACGTTCCGTATCCGACACTCAAGAACACCCGACTGCCGCACACCTTGTAAGCCATTTTTCAATGTCTAAACAATTAGAAACATGTTTGAGTAGCAAATTTTCAAATATTTTTGTCGTGTTCCCTAATTATTTACGTGATGTAATAATCTGCAAATTGATGATTGATAATAAAATTTATTTTGAACTATGTTCATACGAAAATATATAAAAAGAATTTATATATAAAGAAATATTTATACATGTTTAAATAGCATATGTATTAATATATCCTTATATTATTAATATTTACACGTTTCCCCAAATTCCCGGATCCCTAATGTCGTTTCTCCGTGTCCGTTTTTCCATTTTCTCGTATTGGCGTTTTCTTGTCCATACTACATAGCTCTACATTATCGAATTAAAATGCAAGATGGGTGAAGAAGAAAAGATGTATTATATAACCACATAAAAACAAAATGCTTTTTTTTTGGTAAATGAATTTCCCTATCATTTGAATGTTCTTGGTCTTCCACCTTCATTGACCAACAACTGGCAACGCTATCGTCACAGCATTGTCATCCTGCGGCATGCACAGCACCACGAAATAATGGAGCTGTGTACTAGAAAATAGTACCGTCATATTTCAGTGTCACCGCCATTAATATGCTTGGGGAAAGAGAAAACAAAAATTGGAAGAGAATGGCATAAATGGAGATTCCAAAATAAAACAATATTACACCCATTTTTTTTTTTAATAAAATATGAAAAAATCGCTCTTGTTTGGATAATCACAACCACCCCTTCTTTTAAATATTTTTACATACAATTTATGTAATTCGGTTATTTACCGAACCAAATCGTATATTCGTTCGGTAAACGGTATGAAATGTTGGCGTACTAAAATTTCGGTTCGATTTAACAGCCCTAAATTTATCTCTGGAGGTTTTTTTTCATAAGATAATAAATAATTGAGGGGTGACTGTAATTATCCAAACAAGAGGGGAGTTTCGTAATTTGACCATAAATCAGGGGTGGTCGTAATTTACCCATAAAATAATAAACACTACTCCCTCCATTTCAAAATAAGTATAAGTTTGTGACTTTGTGTCCTAAAATAAGTATCAGTTTAAGGTTAATGCATACAAACTAAAAAAGCTAATAAATACTATTGACCTTACGGAAAATAACTCATATTTGATAAAATCGATTTCATCTTCAAATTGTTTCGAATCTTACATAAAACTGAAGTAAAACAAGTGAAATATAATATATATAAATAAAGCTAAAAAATCGGACGAACGAATATCTAAGCTCGAAGACTCGATAAGTAAAAATCTTGCGAACAAACACTTGTCATATTAAAAAAAAAATCTAAATATCATGATATAATGATGCGTTATTATCAACTCTATAAAATATTTTCATTTTTATAAAGCTCGGGAGGGCACTGAACACGAGGGAAAGAAGATAGTGGCAGATTGTGAATTTTAAAAAGGGGCGAGGGTAGTGTAGTCAATTCGTATATCAAATCATTAGGCCTTCTGTGAGATGCCGAAGCTTTTGTCTCACATTTGCAGTTGAAAACAAACATCCAACCAACATAAATAAAGTATGAGAGTGAAGTGAGAGAGAGAGAGAGTAGAGAGAGAAAGAGAGAGGAGAGAGAAAATCAAAAGCAAAAGAAGGCAACCTCTCTCTTTCACGCTCTCGTGCTAACCAGCATCACCATTAAAAAATAATACTAAGCCATTAAAATAAGGAAGAACAATCTCTCTCTCTGCATATTCCTTCACACACACACACACACACACACACACACACACACACACACACACACACACACACACACACACACACACACACACACACTAACACACTCGTAAGCGTACAGCGAACTGCAATTGTTTGTGTTGCACCATTATTCATTTGAAACTTGAAAAACCGTCGGTTCTTCTCAGTTTTTTTTTTGAATGTCGGGTGGAAATTCGGAGGCGGGGATTTGAGATTTGGTTGGAGATTAAGTTGTGAATTGAATGGGGGTTTCACAGAGTGACGGTGGGAGAATGGAGGGGTGGTTGTATTTGATACGCTCCAATCGGATTGGGCTTCAGTATTCGAGAAAACGCTACTTCGTTCTTCAGGATCACTTACTCAAGAGCTTCAAATCTGTCCCAGTTTCCATGGATGAGGTTCATTATCTTCAATATACGTTATACTTAAATGTGATTTGATTGATTTTATTGTTTTTTGAATTTGTACTTGTGACTGCTCTTTTGATTGGATTTTGCATGCTATCTGTATTCGGAAATCAATTGTTTCACTATGATAATTTTAGTATGTTTGATGGGGTTGACTCTGTTTGACTGTTGAATTTTGTAGAATAATCAATAGTGTATCCCTATTGTTAACGGGATTTCGGTTTTCGTTTATCGGTTCTATATTGCTTTTGTGAGATCTTCCACATATACAATCATGTCAACTGTGTGAGTGTATCTATTTGCGCCTTCACGTGAATTTGTGTAGGTATTTGTGGGAGGAAATTGGAATATGCGGTTAATGACACTTTACATTCTGCAAGTTTAGAGTGCTTTTTAAATTTGTATATTTGAATACTAGTTGAATTTATATATGGGTTGGTAATTTCTAGGCGAGATTGAAGAAACATTCTGAAAATGGTTTTGACTAATCTTGTAATTCTCTAATTAGTTTAATCGACTCGGAGGAGTTTCTAACTGATGATAATATGCATATATATATATATATATATATATATATATATATATATTAAATTGCATAGTCCCATGTCACAAAGCTTTTTCATGGCTGGTTATGATGAAGTAATCACGAAATTAGAAGCGTCGATTTATTGTGAAATCCTTAGATTCTTTCTACATATTTTACCTTTTTATGTATTTAACATAGAAAAACTGAATGACGGTAAACATTAGTATGAGCATGCATTGTGTAAAATTTCAGTATTTTTCTGTCAGGATCCTGTTAGGAGTGCAATTATTGATTCCTGCATAAGAGTGACTGACAATGGGAGAGAGAGCATTCTGAGGAAGGTAGGCAACACTGCTCGCATAATCTTGAAATTCTAGTTTCTACATATGATGATGTTTATAACTAAGTTCGAATTCCTTCAAATAAACTGAACGCACTTGTTTCTTTCAATTTGGAATATGCAGGTCATTTTCATTTTCACTCTTTATAATACTTCTAATCACAGTGATGAACTGAAGGTGCGGAAGCTTTCTCTTCTGAATTTGTTAGTTCTCTTTAAACTCAATAACTAAATTCCTTTTTGCAATCTGTAGTTGGGAGCAAACAGTCCTGATGAAGCTGCAAAATGGATTCAGTCCTTCCAGGAATCGGCTTTAAAGGTCGAAACTGCCCTTTTTGTTATGTTGCTATACCATTATTGGGCTGGAAACTGATCTTTCCATTAATGCAGCCAGATCAGAATCAAAGAGATTTTGAATTTGCTGCACGTGAGTTGCGGTCATTAAGGTAAACAATTAAGCATCTTATCCAGTGATTGACAAAACCTCGTCAAGTTGAAATTGCTATGTTCAATGTTAATCTTTCGAGTTGGTTGTAACCTATTGAACCAATCTTTTTACTAGGAAGTCAGGTTCCTGAAGATTTACAAAAACGATAATCTGTTTTCACTTATTCCATTTTGTACAAGTTATAACATTCTTTATCCTTATGAACTTTCTTCCATCTTGCCCAGACTCAACGGTTCCAGTAAGCATACCCATTCCATTGACTGGACAGTCTACTCATCCTCAGTCAGTGATGCGATGACATCTGATGTTGTTGCACCATCGGCTTGGAAAGTTTTTGGTTGCCAGAATGGTAAGGGTTAAGTTGACTGGCCATCTCGCATAATGGGCAAATGCTTTGTCTAACATAAAAAAATTTGCAGGTCTCCGATTATTTAAGGAGGCTAAAGATAAAGAATTTCGTGAGAAGGTACGTTAGTTTGTTTCAAAATGGCATTTAAGTCTTCTAAGTCTCCTCTAAGTGAATCATTTGCTTATCCCACAGTGGGATGACCACCCCGCAATAATGGCCGTTGGTGTAGTTGATGCAACTTCAGAGGCTATTTTCCAAACGCTCATGTCTCTTGGTCCTTCAAGATCAGAGTAAGTCTTAATAACGGCAACATTTCAGCGCCATTTCAACATAAATAAATAAAAAATGGTGTCCTTTAGATGCATGTGTGTCCTCATAAATCCAATCCCGGATTAAGAATCATATTGAATATCTGCGCTTCTCTGCAAATCAGAAAGATGTAATGCATTATTTCTTTACTAGATAGCTTATGTGCATATTAAAGGAGAGAGGCTTATTCTAGGTTATCCAAGGAAAATAAACAGAATAGGGTATGGTGTGCAATTGTTGCTGATGGAGAAAGTATTCTAGCCGACTTGTGGCATTTTGGTGCGAATGGAGCTTCTATTTCTTAATTTTAGCATGAATATGCTACAAGGCGTATGATTCTGTTGAAAAAATGTCATCCCATTTCAAGGGACAAATGAAAACTCTCTATCATGCTATATCATGTATAACACATATCTTTCTTATAAGGAGCTTTGTTTTATTATCATTTGTATCAATGTATTAGTTTTTTTTTTTTCTGTAGTTTCAACATTCGAGAAAGGAAAATGCACTTGTGAGGTCTTGAATTTTCTTCAATAATTTTTTTTGGATCACTGAACATGAGATTCAATCTCAGGATATACAGATTAAATTGTCTAAGTGAAGTACTTAGGTAACAAAATTGAATTAGCACTCCCAATTTATCGATTTGTTTCTCTTTGTCGGGCATAATAGAATTAGCTTGTGCTTCCATGAGGAAATCAATGGCTTCATTCTGGATCCAAAATGCCAGTAATTTCTTTTAAGATGGAACTTAAACCTTAAAACTTTTGGAGCTGTTGAATTCAGTGATTATCCGTTATAACTGATATTCATCTTTGTGCAGATGGGACTTCTGTTATTACAAGGGTTCGGTGATTGAACATCTTGATGGTCATTCTGATATAGTTCACATGCTTCTGTATCGTCATTGGCTACCTTGGTCTGATACATACCTTGACTCTGTTAGTATTATTATCATTTTATTTTTCAAGAGTTGATATGTGATATAGCTTTTAGCAGGGGTATGAAACGAAGGGATCTTCTATTACGGCGCTATTGGAGAAGGGAGGATGATGGTACATATGGTAATAGTTTAAGTGGATCAACTTAAACAATAATCTTTTGGATCTTTTTTGTGAGAAATAGCTATAATTTATTTATTTATGCGCAGTGATTCTGTACCATTCGGTCATTCATCACAAGTGTCCGCCGAAAAGACATTACGTACGCGCCTGCCTCAAAAGTAATGTATGCTTTTACATATGGAACCAACCAGATTTTATTTACCGTATCATAGTATCTAGCAGTAAATATAATGTGGTTTATGCTGGTATAATGGCCATGAAATTAGCCTTCATCCTTATACCATGCATGCAGGTTGTTAGGGAAAAATCAGTGTCACATTATTAAAGCCCAATTACATAAATCTTGCTGTGGCGCAAATTGGCCACTTTATTATCGCATTAAGAAATCACTTTTGTTTTTATCTCATCTGACAATGTAAAATGACTTATGGTTGAAGTTGAATTTCTCACAGGTGGAGGATATGTTATATCTCCTGCAAATCAAGGAAATCGTTCTGTAGTGAAGCATATGCTTGCCATTGATTGGAAATTTTGGAAATCTTACGTACAGACATCAGCAGCCAGATCAATAACAATAAGCATGCTGGGGAGACTTGCTGGTGTGCTTCATATCTATTTCTCTTCACTTCAGCCTATGAATTTGTTATTCATTTTCAGACCACATTAACCACCTAAAGTTGGAAAACATCTTACTTTAGTTTCTAAAGTTTCACATTCCAATTTTGTAGAATATTCTTCAAGTTTTTCTGTGTTAAATGGATGGAAATGCGCATGAGTAGCCAGTATATCTGCTTGCTTATTGGCATTTACACGCAACGTTCAAGCGATTATATGTAAATTTCTCGAAATATGTGACCTGATGTCTTTAAAGGAGATGTGTGCTAATGTCTCTAAATGAAATGAAGTACACATACTGATTATGTATGCCCATCATTGCTCATTTGTTAATAGGAGAAGGACCTATCATGACAAAATCAATACATGAGAAACTGTGTAGAAAGTACAACTTGGATAAGTGTGGCATCTAATGAGGTCATTAAAGAATCATAATATTTATTTGAAACTCTAGGCACTATAATTGTTTGACCCTTGTAATGTAAGATTCATGTATTTGGATAGTATAAACTTCTTGGGATTGATTCAACTTCACTTGCTGTGATTGTAGCCTTGCGGGAGCTGTTTAGAGCAAAATTGGATTGTTCAGCATCTGATTTCTCATCAGGTGAGCTAATGAGCAACAATAGCACGCAGCAAACCAGAAAGGAATTGAAAGTTGAAGTTCAAGCTAGATTGGAGAATGGGCAGAATAGGAGGAGTATGGATGAAGATATGGTTAAAACACCTTCTGAACGCTCAAGTCTTGTGGGATTAAATGATGCTGCAGATGAATTTTTTGATGTTCCGGAACCTATAGAATATGATCAATCAGAAAATGGTTGGCCTTCTGATTTTGCTCCAGACAGTTATTCTCAGGTATATTAGCTGTCAATTTCAGATATAAGGATGCTATTTTCTGTTTATAAAGTAAAAAGGGTATCTTATCGTTGTGTCAAATGCCACTTAACTTATTATGTGTTAGTTTTATAACTGATCCAGTGATGCTTTATTGTTATTTTATCAATCCATCCTTTTCGAGTTTCAGGATGCACGCCAACCCAAACTGTCAAGTGCTGCCGTATTTGTGAAAAGACTGCATGATCTTGCTGGTATGTTGGCTGAAAATCATATATATATATATATATATATATATATATATATATATATATATATATATATATATATATATATATATATATATATATGACATATCCATAGTATTTTTTATTTTATTTTTAACATTTTGTACTAGATTTTCTCTTTGCTTGGACTCAGGGTTCAAAGCTTCTAATCTAATGGTTTGAGATTTTGATGCTACAGTTCAGAAGAAGGGTTATGCAGACTTGCATGAGGTGGCAAGGGAAGACAGTCTATCATGCAAATATGGATACACTCTCTCAAAGGATCCAACCTGTAATTCTCTCTGCAGTTGGACATCAACAGATCCTTCGACGTTTCTGATTCGTGGAAAAACTTATTTGGATGACAGAAAGAAGGTAGTTTCAATATTTTAAATTTGAATTTGGTGCACTTCTTGTAGTATCTAGTGTCTCTCGCATAGTTTTTGACTTGATAAACAAAATTGCTGATAGTCTCGCATCTAAACTTTTGCTCAAAGCACCACTGTAGAAAAATAGCATAGTATTTGGTCGAAGATTGTATAAAAAATAGACATAATATGACAATTGTGATGGTTCAGTTTTAGTTCTTGTTCTTGGGCGAATTTTTCTACTCTTTGCATGGATCAAGCAATCTTGATTTGTATAAATGCTAGTGCAGTTGCAGACATTATTCCAAACATGACCGAAGTATTTTCTTGAATAACAAACTGTTGCACTTTATTCATTAGTTTAGGTATTCATTGATATGCTTTATCTTCCCAGATTAAGGCAAGAGGCACATTGATGGAAATGGTAGGTGCTGATTGGTTAAGGTCTGACAAGAGAGAAGATGATCTTGGGGGGCGCCCTGGGGGCATAGTTCAGGTCTGCCGCTACTTCTTGAAGCGAATTTGCAATAGTCTACACACACACACACACACACACACACACACATATATATATATATATATATATATATATATATATATATATATATATATATATATATATATATATATATACTCTCATCAATTTTTTCACAATTTATCTATTGAAATTACTTTATGAAGCTGAAAAAAGAAGTTGCTCTTTTTACTGTGCAGAAATATGCCGCAAAGGGGGGTCCAGAATTCTTTTTTATTGTAAACATACAGGTGAGAGGCTTGTTTTTTTTTTGTTTTTAATAACTTCCTTTATTGAGTTCATCTATTGCTTACTCAACTTCATTGAACTAGGTCCCAGGTTCAACAACATATAATCTTGCTTTGTACTATATGATGAATACTCCTCTAGAAGAAGCTCCTTTGCTCGAGAGCTTTGTCAATGGGGATGATTCTTATAGAAATTCAAGGTTCAAGCTCATACCGTACATATCTAAGGTCAGAAAAGTAATTGTTTCATGGTATTGTAATCTCATGTGTGATGCGATAACGAGTTTTACATATGTTTCCTCGAGAAGTATTGATCACATGTTTTATATATTGGAACCCTCTTCTCTGGTTCCTTTTTAATATGAAATTTTCTAGCATGGTATGCCTTAAGGTGCATTATTAAGTGACAAACTTAATATTGGAACTTAATTCTGTTTATTGTAATCTCAAACTTGATATATGTACAATCATTTGTCAGGGTTCATGGATAGTGAAGCAGAGTGTTGGGAAAAAGGCATGCCTCGTCGGTCAAGCATTAGAAATTAATTATTTTCGTGGGAAGAACTACCTGGAGGTATCTTATAACTTGTTTTTTATACCTGTTTCATTTTCTTGCATGATTAGGTTTACAGTTTTCAAAAGATCGTATAAACTCTTTTCGCTGAATGTGTAGAGTGTAAATGGGACTCGCTTTCTATACGGCACTAATTATAATGTGTGTCAATTATTTCACAGCTTGGAATTGATATTGGCTCGTCAACTGTTGCGAGGGGTGTGGTCAGCCTTGTATTAGGCTACCTCAACAATCTGGTCATTGAGATGGCATTCTTAGTACAGGTAAATATCTGATTGGTCATAGTGTCGAAAAAATACTATATAGTCTCGTTTCGAAACGCATGAATGAATGAGTGACTCCAGATTGTTAATTGGATAAATGCAGTAACTAAAATTATTTCTCAATGATTCTGAATTGACTGTTTTGTTACAACACAGGCTAATACGCCAGAAGAGCTACCGGAATATCTTGTTGGAACATGTCGTCTTAACCATTTGGATGTCTCTAAATCGGTATTGGTAAAACCGTAATCCACTCTTAAGCAAATATCCTCTTTTTGTTTTTACTATTACTATTGCTCATGAGATGTATAGAGAGTGAGTGATGGCTCTGATTGTACATGCATGGTGTTCTTGCTATTTGCAATTCTTTTCATTCAAACCAAGTGGAAAATTTCATTTAACGAAAACATAGCCGATTTTGCGAATTATTTGATGTACACATATATAAAATGTTAGGGGCATACTGAAAAGAAAGAAAAAAACTTGATTTGTGATAGTCTTGATTAGAACTCGATTGCTTATTATACTAAGCTCAAACACAATTTGTAAAGCTCGATAAAAATTCAAATAAGCTTTAGTAACCATACATTGAGCTCGATTCAACTTATTTATACTTGTACTAAAATACTACGCATTTGGAATTATCGATCTACACAGTCGAATATAACAATTTCCTCTCGAAATAATGCAGAGGGGCCAAGTAAGGTTTAATAAGGGGTGATCCAAGAGACCCATTCTATATAAGCATGTGATATGTTGGGATTTTTTGCCCACTCGTAATAAATTCTTATTTGCTCTTTCACTAAAATATGTGAGTATGGCTATATGTCTACTTTATTTTCCGAACATAAAAATGAGATGTATTTCCTTTACGGTTTTGTATATGCTACATCTGGTGAAATACATTGGGTAGTAATGCATCAGTGGTCTACATATAATAACACACACTCATTTGTAAGTGAGTAGTTATTTGTATAGATCTACGATGCAAAATTACTCATTTTCATCAGGCGTGTCATCTACATGTGTTATGTGTATTGAACTATACGAGAGATGTAAATCATAGTAAACTAATCGTGTGTGACAAACAGCAAACGTTGACAGGAAAATTCGAAGTCATATTAATTGACACAAATTCTTCTGCTCTAATCGTTAGATCAATCCCTCGACGGATAATTATAATAACTAGTAAATTGAATTGGAGGTATCAAGTTAGTTGTGATGATTGGTCCACATTGCTTTGGTTAATCATTAAATTCAAACCCATAAATCATGAGGGATCCATCACACCAAATCATATTATTATTAGTCACATCTCAATTCTCATGCCAAGTTTTTTAGGACAAACGAAAAAAAAGAAATTAAATTAAAAAAAAAAAAAAAAAGAAACACACACACACACAGTCAGATCTGCCCTTAATCACATCACGAGTCACACTCACATACATACACCATCACTGTGTGTTATGTGTGTGGGCCCCATTTGTTCATCAATCATCACAGGATAACATTCAAACCAAACTGGGGCCCACCTCGCCACACCCCAGACAAACACAAGACAATAGAGACATACTATACATCTTTTCCCTCCAAAAAGGAAAAAAAAAAAATCCACACATCATACGGAGAGACCACCTTAGTTCCCCTGCACCTGCGCCACACCCAATAACTAACACCACCCCCAATCTAATTCTAATTTAAACCGTTTTCAGAATTAAAAAAAAAAAAAGGAAAAGAAAAAAGTATTATATATTATATTATAGATTATAATATGTACTTGACCTTTTTCACCCCAAAGTCCAAATAGTGTATATTGTAGTACAGTTCAGACAAAAGCCCAAGAAATAAAAAAATAAAAAAAAGGGATTTTATCTTCTTACCCTATCTTTCATTTTCTCCTTGTCTCTCTGCCAAAAGAACCAGAACCTTCTTCCAAAACCCAACAATGGCGTGAAAGGGTTTTAAGGGTTATTCTCCTCTCTAATATAATAAGGTACAATTTCCATTTTCACACCATTTTTTTTAATTCTTGTTTGCTTGCATGCATTTATCCTCTCTCTCTCTCTCTCTCTCTCTCTCTCTCTCTCTCTCTCTCTCTCTCTCTCTCTTCGGTTTGCAAACGGGTCCTTCAGACTGGGTTTATTTTATTTATTTGTTTTATTTTATTTACACATAATTCACTATGCCTCGGTGGATCGTCCCAGCAGAATGCC